CTGAATTGAATTGTTTCTTTTTACATTGACATTAATTTTTGCCATCAAAGTATCCATATTTTTTGAATGTTACAAAGGTAATAAGGTCTTGTCCTGGATTCCAATAAAACTATTGGCTTGAAATTTTTATTTTTAGAGTATTTCACTGAGTGCCCTATAAAGACTTAAAGTCCATGGTAATGCCGTGTTGTGGGGAAATAAAACCTCAAAGTACTAACATATTTAAGATTTTTTTTTGTGATCTTTAATGGTCAAAAGTAAATCTACAGTAAATACAAACATCTGCAAATAAACTCTTAATTGCATGTTTTAAAGCCTCAATAACATTAACAGCTCATGACTGCTCTACAGTTTAGCTTTAACTTCAGTTTTGCAGCAGAGCAGTATTTCACAGCGGAATGACCAACGAACCGCTGTTTACTGCTGTGATGAAGTACGCTTCAGGACCTAAAACACAAAGACTGATATTGGTCTTTGTGAAATGGATTTCATCTACAATGAAAGCTCTGAAGCAGAGCACTGTGATAATTACAGCAGAGGGTCTAAATAAAAAGCTGAACGCCTGGTTCACCCTCATCAATCACAAAGTTCATCAAAAGCAGCCAGAGACCCCGGCGTGGCTTTTGTCAGGTGAACGGGTGAGAGGTTGAGCTGTTAATTAGGTGAGCAGATAGGAGAGACTGTCAAGGAGAGCAGAAGCAAGGGTTGAAAGGGCCTGGTACTGGAGGAAGATGAAGGAAGGTCAAAAAAAGTAGACAGGAAAGCTGTGCGAGATCCAGAACACTCATTATTTTTCTGAAGGGGTTCAGAAGATTTTGAGCCAAACTAGCGTCAGAGGAGTGAAATATAACACTTATCAGCTGAAAGCTGGGGTTTCTCTTCTTTAGGTCTATGCTGAAACTGTCTAGTAAACATAGATGAGCTGGAAATATTACAAACGCAAAAAGGTGTTCCCATATGAATGTGATCAGATCACTATTCAGGCAGAGTTCGAGAACAGAAGCTATCCTGAAAGTACTGGACACTGAAGTGCTGGCACCAGGTGAATTGGTTCATCATCTAGTGGGGAAAGTTAGCATGATTATGCATTGACTAGCTCTAATTACTGCTTGGGCGTGTAGATGGGAGGACTTTCTCTGCAGGGATATGCTAAAAGGTATTTGCAGGATCAAGATCTATGCAAAGAAAAAAAATACAGGAGTTTTATTTCTTGATAATGAGGGGGAGTTGAAGACTCTTAAAGAGCTGAGCTAAGAAAATTAGCTGGTTCAAATTTATAGAGCACACAGGCTCTAATTCAACAGCTTACTCTGTGTTCATCTAGATCCGTGCTTTTCAACCTTTTTTTTTGTTCCCCTTTGGGCATTTTGTCTCACCATGAGTTCCCCTCTCAGGCAAAAGTATTGATGATTGTCCAAAAGTGGAACGTACAATAACTGATTATAAAATAAAAATTATTTTACTTCATCTTTTAACTTGAGCATGCAATTCTAATGTTATACTTTCCAACTCAAATAATAACAATAATAATAAAAAAACAGCCTAAATAGGTAGAAAATAAAATAAACACACAATCAAAATAAAATCGTATTATAAACCTGTATTTATAAAACTGGAGTGACTCCCTTATAATCACACTTTAACTTGATGAATTGGGAAAAAAAATACAGAAAAATAAAATTATAGTCATACTGACTTAATTAGATTTACTTTGTTTTCATCAAAAGACCTGAGCTGCTTTGGTATGGAAGCAAATCGTTACCATATTTCAAATGAAAAGGCATTTTCAGAAATGTTTTTTTATTTTAAGAATGTGGCTGCATTGTTTGACTCATAAAAGAAATTAGTAATTAATAATCCTGTTTACATTTTCATTTTCTTCTTCAAGACTGCTCATCCTTTTACTTAATTAAAATGAAAAAGAAAAAGACATTTAGATCTATTTTAAAAAATGTAGCCTAGCAAATACATACCAAAATTCAATTTGAAATGTTCTATAGATCAATGGGTAAAAGTTGTGACTTTGGTCAGAAAAAAACTACAAAAAACGTTTACTGGTTTTAACATGTAACTGTTGAAAGGTTGATGTCCATCCTTCTGGAAAAGGGTCAGAGGTCATTTATGAAATGAACTGAAGTGAGAGTAATAATCTATCGGAGAAAATATGCAGTAGAGGCGAACCTTCACAGGAGACGGTCAACCTGAATTACTTCTATCACATCAGCCATTCAACTAAAGGCTGATGTGATTAAACTCCCATCAAACACCAGACATGACTAAGTTAAAAGTTGTTTTGAAAGGCATGTGTCCCATTAGACTGGACCAAAGACATACACAGCATTAGAGAAACAGGCAACAGTCAGAGCACGGTAGTGGCAGTATGACCTTTTGATTCAGTTCACTCTCTGAAATCCCACCAATGCGGCTGAAGTAGGAGAGTTGAGCAAAATTCCTCTGAAGTCAAGTTAAAGACAAACCTGTCAGTTACTTCAAAATCTTAACGTCAGACGAATAGTTGCCATTCTTAAGGTTAAGAGAAAATTGTCAGTTTATAAGAGTTTATCCTTTTCAGTCTTTAAAAAGGATTAGAAACATATTGTCAAATAAACTAGATATCAACCTTTCCTCCCTTCCTAGATTTGCATCCTATAAAAATGCCAGATGAGGTGAGGAGAAGCAAGCGCAGCAAAGGATCCTGGATCCCTCTCTTTGGAAGTGTTAACCTTGAGAAACACCTAAAGGAGAAGTATAAGTGCTGCACTAATGCGGCTGTTGAAGTATTAATAGTGGTGGGGTGTGTGTGTGTGGGTGGTTATGGTCGACCCCATTTCATTTAAAATATATTTCCAAGAGTGGGATATAGTGTCCACTGATATCCATAAATGAAATTCAATTTAATCTTTTTTTACAATTTGAGCAGGACTTTGCGTCACAGCAATAAATACAGCATCTTGGAGCTTTTAACACTTAAAAAAAATGCTATCATAGTAATATTTTTAGCTAATCCTCCGTAATTTCTGCGTAAGTTAAAATAGGAGAGCCTTGTTTTTAGTGTGTGCAATGAGGAGCTGAGCAGGATGGTCAGAAGCAGACGATGATAAACGATTTCTAATTAGCTCAATAAAAAGATCATCAATATAATCCCAGTTTATGTTTTTTTTTAAACATCTGCGCCAAAGATGTAATGATGCTGAAGCTCACAAAGATCATAAATACGAAACTGAAGTTCAGTCAGAAATCTGTCAAGTTTTTTGATTGTATTCCGAGATTTTTCTGACAGAAGCTATAGAAAGTAATTTTGAATAAAGAAGAATTTATTTCATCTCCATGAGTCAAATTAATTTACATTTATGAAAAAACAGGAAACGTACATATGTAAGCCGCATCAGGCTATAAGCCACTGATATACTGAACTGTCTCCCAGTGAACCTGTAGGGGGAGCTCTACATATAGCCCCTGGAGTAGGGAAGAAGAATGCTAGCACCCGTTAGCTTGTTAGCTCGGTTCTAATGAAAGATGGCACTTCATCTGCTCTTTATTTCAGCTCTGAAGGAGTTGAGCCCAGTCTCTTCATCATTTCGGCAACTTTAATGCAGCAATAAATGCCGAAAAGTGTGAATTCGGGACATTTGTTCTCCGTCGTGCCTGCTGCTAGCATGTTCTTGTGCTAAATTAAAATTAGCCCCTTATTCTTTCATTTACAACTTAGACTTCCCCCTCTGGCAGTTAGAAAATATCCACAGAAAAACTGTGCCTTCTAATAAGCAACATGGTTTAGTACATAGGGAAGAAAGTAGCAGCTTATAGTCCAGAAAATACGGTATAATATTTATACTGGTATACTAGTTCATCATTACTTTTAGTAACACTAAATAACCATCATCAATCTTATTATAGAGTGCTTAGGCAAAATTAGAGGGGACCAACATCCAATTTTGTTCAGGGCCCCATGAAGGCTTGGGCCGGCAATGGCCGACAGATGTACCTTTGAAATTTTTCTTTCATTTGTAATGATTAATACTTTTAGTTCATGAGAACTCAGGGTTCAGTTTGTCTGAATATTTCAGGACCACATAACAGCAAAAAATAGACAAAGTTCTTTAAATCAGGCTAACCACAGTTCTGACTACAAATTTCATCCTACAAATATTTAACTTTGCTATGAATTCTCATAGGATTTTTTTTCAACCAGTATATGAAAATCGAACCTATGAACTGTAATATAAATAAAAATGTATTGTAAGACACCTGGACTTCCAATACACATTGGGGGAACCACAGACTGATTACTGATCCAGTAATTAATGCAAAAGTAGCCCAGACCAAGAACAGTCCAGCATTCAGCTTAAAGTTCATTAGTCCATCACTTTTAAAATTAAAAATCTAATCTAATGATTCTAAATGTCACTATTTCATGCATAAATAAATGATTTTGGATGAAAAATAAATCACTCTACATGTAATGAATCTATATTTGGATGCATTAATATAATCACTCCTATACTCTCCACTAACTCCTCTAAGCAGCTCACTGCTCTGTCGGATAAATGACACTTCAGATTCATCAATTAGGGAGTCAGGAGAAAAAAGCTGGGCTGCGGCATTGCTGAAAAGATGTGTGGAAAGAAAAAAAATAGCTGTCAATAGTAAGGCGGTTCTCGCCTGCTGCCAATTTAAATCAACAGTCACACCTCGGGTTTAATTTAAAACACTGTCAGATTTTTTTTTTTTACGTCTGGAGGAGTCCCTGGAGCTGCAGGATTTACTGTAAATAGATGCAGATCAAAAATAAAAAAAAAGGTCTTCAGCAGTTCATCATCTCAGTTAATGACAGAGTCTTAGCGTTTGTCCCAGATGACACACGCCACCTGAAAAACTCATTTACATCACCCTGCATTAAGGCACCTCTGCTCCTTAAATCAGGCTCCCTATCAGGGGACAGAAACTTGCAGGTTGTTGCAGGGAGTGAAATCACACTCCTGCTGGCCACAAAAACTTACTTGGACGCAGTTCGACCGGAGTGTTGCCAGGGAAACAGGACATTGCCGACAGCTGCCCGGTAGCTGTAGACGCCCAGGAGTCCGAGTGCCAGGGCGACCTTGGAGACCAGCGAGCAGCGTCTTTGAACCAGGAGGTAGATGAGGAGCAAACAGAACGCAGACAGCAGGGACAGGACCATCTTATGCTCAGAGCTGTGGGATGATGATAGACAGAGAGTCACAGCGGGCGGGGAGAAAGAAACACCCTGCAGGTCAACAAAAATGAAATTCATTCATATTTCATATGTTTGAGCACATGGTGGACTGTTGTCATCTGTCTACATGTCCAGACAGGACGGGCAGGAATTTAAGCTTAAATGATCAAAGTAAAAACACTTGATGGGTAAAGTGGAGTATTTAGGAGATGAAGCATTGTCAGTCGCGTCTAGCAGCATCAGTTCAAACTTTAAGGAGATCCACTTTAAGCTGTTTACTGGGTTTAGGAATATACGAGAAGAAATTAGCCCATGCTGAGCATGGACACGAAATAATAAGACCTCAAAGGACGTATCAAAGCAGAGCAGAAGCTGCGTATTTAGCCATTAGCCGGATCAGGCAGCAGTGGAAGTTGGATGTTTTTGAGGCGAGGCCTGGATCTCATTATATCCAAGCAGCAAGGGGAGCAGGGAGGAAGAAAGGGCAACATCGGACAGAGAAAAGGTCAGAATCCACATCTCTATTCCACAATGTGATGCATGTTCAAGAACAAACTATGATCCCACGGCCCGCGCTGCTGTCGGAATATTAATGCTCCGCAGAGCGGTCACAGTTTTTCCTGTGAAATCACAGTTTCCCTACAGTGAGAGCAATCACAGACGGCTATCTTCTCTCCTTTAAAACCCTACGTGGCGGGTCCTGTCAGTTTCGCAGTCAGTGTTTATAAGTAAAACCTTTTTTTTCTAGATGTCTGATAAGACGTACCATTATTACTGAAGTAACTCCCTGTGCATTACATTAAAGCCTCTAGATTATGGCTGCTGCAGCATATGATCAACCTCATCTACCAATGATGAACATCTTCTCCTGGGTAGCAGAAAATAACTGGTTACACTGATATGTTTTGACCAGGTGTAGGTGGGATGGCAGCCAGTGAAAATGTCATTGAGTGTGGCTTTGGAAACAGATGTATTTCTCCTCATAATTCATTCTAAACAGACGGACACATTTTCCTCCTTAAATATTAAATTACCTGTTCATATTTATATTGTAACCTTCACTCAGAGCTGCAACATGTTGTGGAAATAAATAAAATGTAACATGCTGGATTCTATGAGCTCAATGATGCAAACCATCAGAGTAAAAAGAATAAACTTTTGTTACAGAGGAAAAGGAAAGAGTCAGGAGGCCCTAATACATGTTAACCAACATTTGAGTATTAAAAACCTGTTGGATAAACTAAAGATTACGGATGCACTTGGAAACTGATGGTTAAAGGATTCAACTCTTAGCTTAAGCAGCATCGGACCAAAAGATATTGGTTGTTTTTTTTTTTAGGTGTTTTAATTTTAAAGCAAAGAGATGTTACTGTGTTTTCTCACATATCGGTGAAGTTTTGGCAGCAAGAGACAAAGAGAGCAAACATTTTAGCAGATAACAGGAAGGCTCAACAAATAAGAGCTAATTTTGTCCGTTTGATTGTACTTCGAACCGCTGTTTGTTATGTAACATGCTGGATTTGGGGATGCTGTCCTCTTTTCTAGAAACATAAAGGTTGTGATTAACTCTTCGTTTTTGCTCAGTTTGATCTATATTTATAAACGCAGTGGAGGTACGATACTGCAAATGTCTGCAAGGGTAAACAAGGAAGTAGCCTACTGTGGCTAAGCCAGTTAGCACCTCACGGCAAAAGGAAAATAATAAAGAAAAGTTTAAGGTCAGGTGTAAAAAACAAAACAAAAAAACACACAAAACAAATATTTTACTCTTTGAGGGATAAGACTGGAAGAGCACTTAGAATATAGTAATAACGTTGGTGTTCACTGAAGCAGTGCTAAATTTGCTGAGGTGTTCAGATGTAGCTGCTAAGCTGATGGATCTGCAAAAGCGTCCTGATTAATACTGGTAGTAGTGATAGCAATGGTATTCTTAATCTCAACAATCTAAATAAAAATGACATTAATTCATTGATAGATTGTTTGACTGGTTCTGACCATGTCCCTGTTTGTATTTCTTAGTTTTTTTTTTTATGTTTGTTCTCATAGAAGGTTTTGGAGAGGATTCACTAGAGTTTAGCGTTGTTGTAGATCAGTTTATCTAAATCATATCTCTCAATCTTTAACCAAACTAAGCCGTCGTCTTCCCGTGACGCTCTTTAGCAGTCGCCATCTGGCTTTCTGGTAGTTTTTGTTTACTTGCAGCAGATGGCGCCACATCTGTTTATGTCTGCTCATCTCGCCCAGTGCAGGAATTTAAGTTAGTCTAAAAAAAGGAATAACTAAAGACTGTGGAGATAGAAGCTTGGTGTATATAACCTCATTTTATCCTGATCAAATGGCTTTTGGTCTTTTTTGTACAGGAGTATAACCAGACTACGCACCTTTAAAAGCTAACTAAGGAACGTTATCTCAACCAAAGTACATTCATTATTGAGATAGTGTGTTACTATTATTAATAATTATATTATAAATGCGAAAAACCTAAACATAAAAGAAAAACCACCATGTTGTAGTAACTCAAACAGTGATGTCACGTGGTTGGTCAATATTTCAGCTAGCAATTGTACACATTGGCTATACCGGCACAACCATATATAACAGTTAAAACATTTGGTAGGATGGAGGACGAGGTTGAAAGGACTGTGCAGCATCTAAATTACATTGCTTATGGTTTGGAGCCCATTCACCATGTGATTCAAGCCATAAGAAGGAGAGAAGAGGCAGTTTAGGAGCCGCGGTTCTGACTATCCCTGCGACCCCACAGAACACTGGGTAGGATTTATGACAACAGTACATATGTTTTTGGCTGGTTAAACTCCCGCATCAGTGTGTCGCAGCTAGCTTCTAACAGATATTTTTGATTTATGCCCAATTTTGAACCTCTTAAGTTTTTAGGGTTTTAAGTGGGGTTAATAATTCAGAATGCATAAAATTCCATCGGTAAAGTTTTTACCAGCAGGTGGAGCCATTGTGTGCAGCTCCAAGCTGACACCAAAAGTTCCAAACCCCACAGCTCTGGAACTGTTATAGCTAGAGGTCTGAAACTTTCTGCATTTGAGGTTGACATGATGTAGAACACATATGATACGATGAAACCTGCTTTTTCTCAAGAATGTCTCTATTTCTGCTGATGCAGGTTGGTTTGTGTTCTACTAACCCAATTTTAATTTATATATTTAGATCTTAGAGGGTTTTAGCTTTCAAATAATGTATTGCACATGTAATTTGGGCTTACAGTTCCTAAGTTATTTGCTTTTTCATTTGGGTATACAAAATATGCGAGGATTACCCAAAATAAGGTGGATGTTAAGAGTTCAAAAAAGGAGCAAAAAGAAGCACGTTGTGCATTTATAGATGGGAAAGATGTGTCTTCTTTTCTTTGAACAGGATTTGGAAAAAAGTTTGATTTATCAGCTTACGATACGTCAAGATTTGCTGAAAAGTCACGATTCGCTGCTGCAATTGGCTGAAAGCGTATTATGGAAGGCGGGTACTAGCTGGGACGTCACTCAATCAGCTCGAAGTATTGTAATAAACATCCCTCCTTTTCATGGACAGAATGAAAGGCAGCCATTACAGATGGATAACATAGAACTCAGTTCAGTTCTACACATATCAGTCTGGCTACTGCCAGGTTAGGCCTGAGATGCTCCTCCACACCTGAAAATCAGTCGCTAGCTGAAAAACCTCTCATTAAATCTCTACATGGCTGTGCTGGTTCTTCACATAGATTTCCTCCATTCCTTTATCTTAAGTCAGATAAAAGATCAACGACCAGTTAAAAGGTTGCTACGCTGATGGGTTAGTTTCCAACTTCAGTTTACATAGCCAGGAAAATCGCCGAGCTTTAAAATAAACAGGAAGTCAGAATAATGTTGGAATAACTTAGAGGATAAATTGGAAGCATAATTCATAGCAGATGAAATACATTTGTTAGGATATTGTGAGTTTATTACACCTGAATATTAGCTGCCTGTTGCGTGTCA